AAGCAAATACAATGATTAATTCATTAACTAAATTAATATTAATGTGATGGTTCAATAATAGTTATGATTTGACAGTGTGAAAAGAAAGATATACCTACTTAGAATTGAGAAAGGATGGAAGGGAAAGACATATGGGTGAGGCTCCTCGCTTTACATTGTATAAAAACAGAAGCCAGGGGGCTACAAACATGGTTCAGACATAATGAGCACGTGCCCTGGTCCCAGCACCCACATAGCCGTTTACAGCTCTCTTTACTCCAGTTCCAAGGGATCTGATGCCCTCTTCTGGTCCCTGTAGGCACTGCACTCCTGTGGTTTACAGATGTACAAGCAGGTAAAACATCCATATGCATTAAACAAAAATACATAATTTTTTTCAAAAGAAGCTGATTAATCAAGAAAGAGATTATTCTCTGTTCTTTCTTCAGAACATATAAATTTTTCTTTTCTTGATGTGAGAAATAAAAGATTAAATATACTTAAAAGTTAAAAGTACATATTAGAAATGCTAGAAGTGTTTAGCTGTGGGTATCTGCTTCTGCTTCCATAAGATGCTGGATGAAGGCTCTAGGATGGCATATAAGTTAGTCATCAATCTCATTGGAGAAGGGCATTTAAGGTAGCCTCTCCACTATTGCTTAGATTGTAACTCTGGAATCCAGTTGCATAGAGGGAGGAGTGATGAGCAAAGGGGTCAAGACCAGGCTGGAGAAACCCACAGAAACAGCTGACCTGAACAAGGGGTTGCTCATAGACCCCAGACTGATAGCTGGGAAACCAGCATAGGACTGTTCCAGACCCCCTGAATGAGGAGGTCAGTTTGGAGGTCTGGACAATCTATGGGGCCACTGGTAGTGGATCAGTATTTACCCCTAGAACACAAATGAACTTTGGGAGCCCTCGCCACATAGAGGGATACTCTCTCAGCCTAGACACACTGGGAGGGTCTAGGCCCTGTTCCAAATGATATGACAGTCTTTGAAGATCCCCCATGGAATGCCTCACCCTCCCTGGGGAGCAGAAAGGGGTTGGGATGGGGGCAGTAGGGGGCAGGGGAGGAGGGGAGGGAGAGGGACCGGGGATTGACATGTAAAAGAAGTTTGTTTCTAATTTAAATTTTTTAAAAAAAGAAAAAAGTTGAAAAAAAAGAAGAAATGCTAGAAGTAACAATTGAACCAGTGAAAATTGTAGAGGGACAATTTATTAGAGAATAGATATTATCTAACATAGATATATCTAAAACTATAAATTATTAGTATTTTTAGAGTAATAATTGAAGGGTAGCAGAATTAAAAACAAAAATGAATTAATTTATTGCTTTTTTTTTTCTATGCTCCAATTCTCTTTGGCCGTGAACATGAATTGCCTGTGATACACCTGTGAAAAAAAATCACAGCACAGACAAATTTTCTTTTGTGAAAAAAATGCAGCATAATACATGTCTATCTGGAGGACCTTTTCTAGTGTTTTAGTCATTTCAATAACATCCCAGTTAAAAATTTAATAACAAGGTGTAGTTCCTTATAACCTTATTAGAAACTACATATCTGCCAGCTTTACTTTTTATTCCACTTTTTATTTTTTTAGTCCCCATGCAGTGTATTTTAATCATTTTTATCCCCCTTCCCCCCTCCCTTCCCACTCAGCTTCATGTTCTTCCTTTTCCAAAAATGAAAAGTCAAGATATCAAACCACAGAGCACAAAAAGCGCCGGACTCATATGTTCAAGCTCTTCTCTGCTGGGAAGATGGCCGCTGTGACAACAGCAGTGCGCATGGTGTCTCTAAAAGAATGTGGGTTAGATTTGTTTTTTTAATCTTACTTCCTCCAGGCAGAGTACCAGGCACACAGGAGCCTTCCGTATGTGTAATCGGCTAGAAAGGAAGCTACTATAAGGTTTTAAGTGGCCTGTTGAGCAGTGTAGCTGTTTTGTGCCTCAAAATATATCCACCCCAATGGTGACTGTACCTTAAAAAGTCTAAGCTACCCTCAGCCCTAAGGTCTTTTACTTTCCATTTTAGTGACTGGGCATCAAAAGACACATGTGAAACCGGAAACACATGTGTCATTCATACACACACACACACACACACACACACACACACACGGTGGTGGATGGAATAGTGAATAGATGGAGGAAGGAAAAAGGGAAGGAGTGAGGGAGAAAGAGTAGGTGAGTGGATGGATAGAAAGGAAGATGATAATGGATAGATGGATGGATAGACAGATAGAGATAGATGATAGATAGATAGATAGATAGATAGATAGATAGATAGATAGATAGATAGATAGATAGATAGCTCTGTGAATAAAAATGCTTGTTACTAAGCCTGATGACCAGCACTTAATCCATGGGATCTACCCTAGAACCCAAATGGTAGAAAGAAAGAACCAACTCTCACAGATTGTCCGCTGACATACCTGTCATGGCATTACACACACACACACACACACAGAAAGAGAGAGAGAGAGAGAGAGAGAGAGAATGATAGATAAATAAAATGTAAAAAAAATATCTTGGTATCTTTATATAATTTTGCATATATGCATACACATTTTCTCAGATATCTGATCCTTTCTGTGGTTCATTGTCCCCCTTTCTCTCTGTACCTCTATTTCCATATGCAAAGTGAAGACCTTCTACCTTGTTTATTAATGGGCAATGCAGATTCCTTCCCAATGAGATCAGAATGGTGACACCCAGTGGTCTCTTTGTGGGGTACAAGTACCCACTTGCCAACTGTTGGTCCTGAGACTTTGACATCTCACCTTTGTCACTTCCCCTTGAGGCCTGGGGAAGTGTTAACGATTCTCAGTAGCTCAAGCCCTTGAACATTTCAAATTAACTTCAGAAATTGCATCATCTAAATTTTCAAAGATGTTGGGAGTTTAATTTGTCTGTATTTTCCTCCTGAAAGACAAAAAAAAAAAAAAAAAGTAATCCCTATCTCAATGCTGGCCTTGCTTTTCCCCAGAAAGAGTCACTTTTTTTTGAGGACTGGGTTGCCAAGAGCACCCACTATCAGACTGCTCCTGTAAATGTCCCTTTTGGCCCCATGTTTCCCCTCCTATTGGCCAGAACCTATTCTGTTTTCCCTGTTGCCACAACATAGTGCTGCTAAGAGCAGAGATAATCAGCTGCAGCTTTGTCCCCATGCTGTAGCCAGCCCAGGATGCCTCTGGCCCCCAGATCCTATGTGCAATCCAACCTGGGTCCTCTCGGTCCATGGGCTACTTGGCAGCATTATTGGTCAAGGTAAAACATTTACTCAGACATCAATCAAGGTCTTCCTTTGTCTTATAATGAGCCCTTGGTCTCTGACACGAACTATTGGAAATGTTTACTATCTACTACTGCCGAGCCTGTTTGATATCCTCCATTGTAATGGTGCCTTGGTATAACTGCTGACAGCTGTTCCTGGGGAAATGTAACCTACTTCTCCAAACTCAGCGGAGAGGGAGGACAGTCAATGTGTATGACAAGAATTAGACCCTTGTTTAGTTTTATCTTACATAATACAGTTGCTGTGACTATATTTTGGGACTGTGGCAGGAATGGTGGTGGTTCTGGGAAAATGACTCTGGAAAGGATTAAATTAGATTATTTTCCAGGCCACTTGACCGGACCGTATATATCTCCTAAATGAGTATACAGTTCTGCCCAGTGTATTAGAGCAAGCATCAGTCTGTTGTGTTTGCTTTTATCTCAACATGGTTCCCCTGGGTCAGGAACCTACTAGCCCAGATGGTATCAACATAGGTGTTGTGGCTTTTTTTTTTTCTTTCCTTTGACTGGGTTTGGGACTGAGTAACTGTCTCTTGTGAGTGTTCTGGCATACTGTAGACATGCAGCTGAGTATATCTGAGATACATATATGCAACTGTTCTCACTTCCTCACAATTATTTAATCTCCTGCAAGAAAATATAAAGTGGACTTTGGAGCTCAGTTAGGATGGTATCTTTGGGATATGTTCATTGTGTAATCCAGGAGGTCATTCCCAAAATGATATGACTACAAGCTAGTGTTAAAATAGAATAAATGAAGCTTCCTATCATAGTCCAGTGTTTGGATAGAAGGCCTGAGCAGAAGCAGAGGGTCCTGGAAGGTGTCAGGCCTGAGTTGAAGTCTATAGCAAAGGTTAGCTGCTGCCACTGGGCTCAACTCCTGTAGCCCAGAACTTTCTACTGGTTTTGTTCAGCTGTTGGCACTGCAGAGCCATCTGTAGTAGCCATAGCCCGAACAGCTTTTTTTTTCCTTCCATTGCCACAAAACCTTAGAATCGCCTTACAGAGTGAGGGTGCACATTTCAAACCACAGTTGGCTCGGGATTAAGTATTACCTTATGCCTGTTGTGGAAAGAATTTGGACTGCTTCCAAGCTCCTAAAACTAAATCCCCAATAGTCACATCCCATGGAGATGTTCTTTCACTTGACTCTCAGATGGTCAGAAAGGATTTCTGGTTTATATCTTACTATGCTTTTATTGGGAGCCCCAAAATCTACTGCCAGAGTTCTCCGTGGGGTGAAATTCTTGGACATTTCATGACTATGGCTTTAGTTTTTGCAAAATTCTCTCCAATTCAGCCTGACCCCATTTGGCTTGTGTTAGCAAAAGGGATCAAAGTTCAGAGTGCTTTGGATGTACAATGCTAATGAATTTATTTCCTTAAACTTTCTGTAAAGTGTAGTGGAGAGAAACTGATTCCATCTGTAAGATATTCATCTTCTGGCAAGGTCTGCACTCCATGTCTCTGCTTGTTTGCAAATAGCTCCTTGGTACCTACTCAAGGCTCTGTGCCTGGGCAATTGTATTGCCAAAGTGAAATTATTTTTCACATTCGGTTCTCAAACAATAAAAGATATTTTAAAAGCCTCCCGCTGCACATTTTGAAAGCTTGTTAATAGGAGCATAGAAATATGTTTAATCTTAAATCTTAAGGACTGGGAGACTGATGTTGGTGTTTTTTTTTTTTTTCTTCCCTCCACTTCCTTTTTAAGAGAAAGCTGATGCGGAGCCAGAGAGTCCAGACAATGGCACATCGAATACATCGTAAGTGTCTTTCGCGTTTCTCTCTGAGATGACTGTTCTTTAATATGCCTTATAAAATGAAACAGTGCAAGTATCTTGTAATGGTGGTAATCATAGTGGAAGGAGGCCCATGGTTCTCTTTTTTCATGATAATGTCTTTTTAAATGCTTTCGGATAGAGACTCACTTTGAGGTTTTATGCTTTAGCGCTGAAAGGGGGATCTTGCAAATGCAAATGTTCTTCTTTATAAAGTCGAAATATAATTAGACTGGAGAGTATGTACTAAGGGAGAATGGAGATAAGCCCTTTAAAATTTGGCTGGAGACTTTTAACACTGGCATAAGATTTGCAGAACTTTCTACACATACTGGAGGGCATTCTGTCCCACATACCCGTGAAGTACCCAAGCCATTTAAAAAGCCTGCCATCTGCAGTCCCACCTCTGAAATATGTGACAAACACAACTATAGATATCTCTAAGATCTCAAGGGTTCATCAATGTTTTTAAGTAAAGCGTTTGTTGAGGATGAGAAAAGATTCTTAGAAGGTACCTCTTTCTTACGTTTTTATCTTTTCCTTCTCAGTATTGAAGGAATATAAGTATGTTTTTAATGACTCATATGATACCAAATTAAGGTAGGTCCTGGGGCTAGGGAATCAGCTCAGTTGCTGAATTGTTTGCTGAGGCATGTGGTGCATGCCTTGAGCAGCAGCTCTGGGGAAGCAGTAATAGGCATATCCTTAGGGCTCACCAGCCAGTCAGTCAAACATTCTTGCTGAGCTCCAGGCCAATGAGTGGCCCGATGTCAAATAATAATGTTATCATTATTACTATCTGATATGCCTATTCAATACTTAATGACAGTGAAGCAGGAACTAACAAATAACTGTTTGAGCCTCACAAGCACCCATACAGGCTTCCTTCTTAAAATATTTATTTTGATCACCTTTGGGGAATGAAATGTTTAATTATAGAAATGACTTTGTGATTGTGTCTGTTCCGGGATCATTGCTCTCATCGCTAAACACCTGACGTGTTCTTCATTAGCAGCCACAGTCTGTGCTGCCGTATTGTGTTCTGTTTTGTTCAAGATCTTGTGCCATCTATAAAGCTCCTCTGGCTTACACAGGGTGGATGGATGTTTCATAATAAATATGGCTATGGGCTGTGTTTCTCAAGATATTACCCTAAAAGTTCTAATGAGTTCTGTTGTTGTATTTTTCTCATGAAATAATAAATATGACAGTCCTAAATGGTTAAAAAAATGTTGCTAGTTTTTAAATTATACTATAGAACATAATGGGAGAAGCGTTTTAATGCCATCTGGAGGCATTCTAGAGAACTGAAAAGGGTAGAGTCACTGAAATTTTTCATTGAGTACCATTTGGACAAGATAAAAATGCCTGCAACTAGAGTGTAAGCTATTGGTAAAATAGTTGTGTTTTATTTGTTATTTGATGACAGCATTGATTTCATAAAAGCATCAGTCTTTCAAATTCTTAACAAAATCGTTTCCTAGACAGACAAAAGAGCATCAAAAATATGTGTAAACCATCAGCATATTATACATAACTTTACATATTTTAAAAATCTCGTTCACCAGACACCAGTTTGACTCATGTAATTTGATGCACTGTTAATGATCTCATTCCTTCCCTTATGAATTTCTGTGGCATCTACTCCCTAAATGTTGCTTTCTGCTGCTGGATGCTTTGTTTCTCCTACCATGTAGAAATAAGTAGGCTGTGTAAGGAGTGAAGTTTAAGCCCTCTGGTGATATGAAATCCTCAGCCCACCTCCCTGCCTCTTCACTCAAAGCGGTTCCTTTGTCTCTTGCTTCATGGTTGCCACTCAAATCACAGGTAACAGAAACAGAGCTGAGGTTGCAAGGACCTCTTCAAAGTGGGGCATCGTGGGCTTGAGTCTCAAGAGTCTCTCAGAGCTCTTCCTGGTCCTTCTGTTATACTCAGGCAGGAGAAACACTGTGAGGATCAGCTTAAGGATGCCTCAGACATGGGTAGCATTGATATGCTTGTAGATGATATTATATGCACCTTCTCACATATATGAGTATATACTTATATACACAAACACACACACACACAACATACACAAATATATACCCCTCATTTGTGTTTTACTCTGATAGGTATAGCAGAGACACACTACACATATTGCATATGAGGTATCTGAGGATCAGAATGGTTGCCCAATTTAAAGGATAGCTTAGGGCATCAGTGTGTCTACTTAGGAATGTATAGTCTTGAGACAAGTCAGGCTGTGAATTGGAAGCAAATTTTCTTTTTAAATTGAACCACTTTTTGTTAGAGATGAGTAACAAGAAGGGGCTACTGTTACAAAGTATCACAGACTAGATGGCTTATGCAACAGAAATAAACCCACCATTGAGTCTGAATGTCCCTCCCATCTGATTATTGGAAGGGAAGGCTACCTGTGTTCCTGGCCTCATCGTCACATACATCAACACGTGGCCATCTACCTCTTCATCTTCACAGCATCTCCTTCCTCCTTGATGCCTCTTTCTCTTTGCCCCCTTTTGTCAGTACACCGTCCATATTGATGAAGGCCCACCCTGTTAACTTTAGACCTCACCCTGATGCTTTCATTTTAACATGATTACTTCCATAAATATCCTATCTCAACGTGAGGTCACATTCTGAGATAATAGTTTTGGTCTGAAGAGGAAATGTCCCCCACGGGTTCCAGTTTTAAATACTTGGTTACCTCCAGCTGGTAACACTATTCAGAAAGGTTTTGAAGACATCTGCACTGGGACTTAGCTGAAAGTTCAAGAGAGAGGGGGGGGGGGGGGGGGGTGTTTGCCTTTCTCTACTCCCTGCCCACCATGAGGTGAGAACCTTCTCTGCTACTTGTCTCTACTGTCATGATACTCTGCCAAAGCTCATGGGAACAAATGAATGTCAGCTGAACCCTCTGAAATTGGGCACCAGAATAAGCATTTTCCTCCTTTAAATTGTTTCTTCCAGCTGTTTGTCACAGCTACATAAGAGTAACCAACATGGCACTAAAGTTGGAACTTTAACATATGGATTTGTCGAGGAGAGGCAATTCAACCCTTAACACTCCCTGACGGCCAGACTTAGGGAAGGGAATGCTTAGGAATTAGAACTTAACAGGAACAGCATGTTCAGATTTCAGTGGATGGGGCAAAGGGTGATAGCTTGAGTTAAGGCAGAAGAAAAGTTGTGGACTCCGGAGGGGCTGAGTAGACTTAAACTGTGGCTTACCATTGGAAGAGGCATGGTGGAACACACCTGCAATGCCAGCACTTGGAAGGCAGAAGCAAGAGAGAGTATCAGTACAAGTTCAAAGCCAACCCTGATCTGTACGGTGAGTGCCAGGACACCCAGAAGCCACAGGTGCATAGCAATTCTGTCTCATAAATAAATAGCTTTGAAAGTCAGAGCACAAGTCAGTGCCTCTCTGCCTTGTTAATTGCAATGCGCTTTAGACATGCCTTGCATGGTAGGACAAAGGAATTGGGGAAATACCTGAGATTTCCTTCAGGATTAATGATCCAAGGATTCAAGAAGATGAAAGGGGCAATTTAATATTTAGACACAAACAAAACCATAAATATCTGTGAAAGAGTTTCAGTTACATTAATGATGGAAAAACTTAGTTGCATTCCCTTCCTCTGAGTATTTGCAAAACTGTTTGAGATCTAAGTTTTTAAGGCAAAGTATATGAATTTGATCCTGGAAAGAAACAAAGTGGGTTGAGTGAGAACTACATTTGGTTATACCCTTCCGAGAGGCGCTCAGCCATCCACAAGCAGCAGCAAGAACTGAAGGAGGGAAACCACAGTTGCAATGGTGTGAGATGTCAGAGGATGAGGTCCCCCAGTTGTGAAAGTACGTGGTAATTAAGGGAAGACATTTCATAAAGGAAAAGACCATGAGAAAGAGAAACCCCCCAGTACTGGATTTAAATCCCCACAGGTGCTTTAATGGCTCTTAATTTACTTAGTTGTGGGGAAGATAACTACAAGCACAGTAGAAAACAAGAAGTAGAACCCTGCAAGGGACCAGCAGAGACTTCAGATACTGCTAGAGTTAGGAACTCAAATCTCAACCAAGATTCAGGTGTTGAGTAAAACTTCAGTTTTCCGAAGCCCAGAAGGACCAAGCTTTGACAGTAAATTGAAGCTAGAGAGACAGTTCAGTGCTAAAAGCACATAGTGCTCTTGAAGACCTGAGTTTGGTTCCCAACACTCAGGTCAGATACCTGACAACCGCCTATACCTTCACTTCCAGGGAATCTAATAGCTAGTTTTAGGTCAACTTTACACAAGCTAGAGTCATTACCTACAGAGTCAGGCTGTAGGCAAACATGTAAGGCATTTTTTTAATTAGTGATTGATGGGAGAGGGTCCAGCCCATTGTGGGTGGGGCCATCCCTGAGCTGGTGGTTCTATAAGAAAGCAGGCTGAGCAAGCAAGTAAGCAGCACCTCTCCACGGCCTCTGCATCAGCTCCTGCCTCCAGGTTCCTGTCCTGGCTTCCTTCAATGATGAATGGGGATAAATACATTAAAAACTCCAGTTAGTGACAGTGGTGCAGCTGGGACAATATATAAGGCCAGTGGCAGTGAGTCCAAGATCTAACTCTAGTCAGCACAAACTGACTTAGTGGAGCCCATTCTATTTGGAGAGATACCTTGCTCAGCCTAGACACAGGGGTGTGTGGGGTGGGGAGGTGCCTTTGTCCTGCCTCAAGGAGATGATGGGACAGACTTGTAGACTTCCTAGGAGTCTAGGAGCAGAAGAGAGGTGGGGAAGGGGAGTGGGGGGAGCAGGAGGAGAGGAGAGAAGGGGAACTGAGATTGGAATGTAAAAAATAAATTAATAAAAAAACATTTTAAAAAAACCCTTCAGTTTAAAGAGAAAATTGTTATGCTGGCTATAAAATCAAGACTACTTATTGTCTACACATCCATACTTCAAATATAAGAAAACAAATAAATCAAAGCCTTTAGAC